TGTCCAATCCCCTGTCCCCGCTGCACAGACAGCTAACAGCCTCCTCAGTGGCCTCATCCTGTCCAATCCCCTGTCCCTGCTGCACAGACAGCTAACAGCCTCCTCAGTGGCTTCCTTGCTCTTACTCTTGCCCTTCAGTGCGTTCTGCTCATGGCTGCCAGTCGCCTTCAGAGACCGTGAGACAGAAGGACTGTGTCACGCCCTCCCAGGACCATCAGTGGATGTCAACTGCTTTTGGTCATGATGTCTCAGGGCCACCACTGACCTCTTTTGCTTCTGTGTCCCCAGCCTCTTTTCCAGCTGCTGAATGAACCGGCCCTCTTCTATCTCAAGGTGTGGGCATTAGCAATTCCCTCTGCTCAGACTGCCTTTCTCCTGAGTTCTCTGGCTAGCTCTATCAATTGGGGCTCAGCTCCTATTTTCATCTCTTCAGAGAGGCCATCTCTGACCCTCTAACTAAAGCAGCCCATGCCTACTCTGCTCTTGTGGCCACTCCTCAGAGAGCACCTGCCAGAGGTCAGGCGCTGGGCAAACAGCAGCAAACACAGCAGCAGAGCCCCTACACTGCTCACTGCGTTTCTGAGTGCCCACTCGTGTTCCTCATCGAAGGCCTGTGTGCCAGGTTCCATCTGTCTTTGCTCACCAAGTACTCAACAAATAGGCATTTGTTCAATGAAAGCATGGCTGTCGGGCTGACGGGAATGCAGAGCAGAGCAGCGGACACATGCCCTGCCTTGTGCTTGGCTCCTGTGACGATGTCACTAACCTTAACCAAAGAGCTCTTCAAAGATACCTTGCTTTGCCCCCAAATAGCTCCTGCTTACTGTGCATTATTTCGACAACCGACGGCGTTCTCCAGGCTCCACCACTGGAACCCTGATCCTGAAGTGACGGTGTTGGGAGTGTTAGGTCATGAGGGTGGAGCCAAGTCCTGTGCCTGCAGTGACGCTGTTGGGGTGATTAGGTCACAAGGGTGGAGCCCTCTCATAGAATTAGTGCCCTTTGGAAAACTATGAGAATGATGTCTGCAGTTTGAGCCATGGTATTCTGGAATAGTATCCCAAACTAAGATACCCTCTTATGGCAGAGTTGGCAATCAGGAAACAGGAGCGGAGGGGTACCTGCCTCGCTGGGGTGAGTGACATTTGCGTCTGTTATCTAAAAGGAGCTCCTACCCACCAGTTTCATAGGACCCTTCATTGCCACTCAGGCTCTGTGCCCTGCCAAATTCCAGCATTACCCAGCTATAAGGCAATGCCTGTCCTACAGCTGGACCCAACAGCTTGCCTGCCACAAATGTTCTCTCTCACACATAGCCCAGCTGTCCCCTGTGCTTGGGAGCCAGTCTCACTCCTCCCTGGACTCACATTACTCTGCCTCTTGCTACAACAAAGCTTCTGGCAGAAGCTCAAAGGCAGGTCTTTAGTGAGAACCATCCTATGGTTCCTTCTGCTGACCCTACTGTCTCTGGAGGCCTTGCAAATACTGCAGACAAAGCCAGCTCAGAACTGCCTGACTGTTCCATAGAGGCAGCCTACGAAACGGACAGCCTCTGCAGATCTGAGGTAGGGATCAATCCAGGAGTTCTGAAACCTGACTCCAAATACAGCAGCAGACACACTGCCAAAAGGAAGTGCAGCGTTGCTTGCTGAAGGTTTCTGTTGTGCCGGCCTTGGCCTGAGGTCCCTGAGTTTAACTAGTCCCTCAGGAAGTTACAGAACTAAAGTGACCAGTGCCTCTTATGACAGCAGTCTATCTTTCTAGGACAAGGGAGAACTCCCCATACCCCAAGGTCACCAACAAGACAGGTTTATACTGGGGGGGGGGGGCAGCTCCACCTCAAATCTTTTTGCACAAGTCATGGGGGTAAATTGCAAGATTACTCCAAACGATAATGTAGATCCTGGGTCCCTTTCATTGGGGGAAATCTTTCCAGACTCTAGTATTCATAGCATTCGAGTTAGACCCTAGACCCAGAGGAGAAATCAGAGGCTTGGGGAAAGTATTTGAGTCTGCCCTGAGGACACCACCTTCTCCCTCCCCCGCAACATATCCCCATCTCAAGGGCACTTACGGGCCTCTTCCTGGGGTCCCATTCCGGTCCAGATGGTGCCTCCAACTAGTGGCAGTGGCATGATATGGACAGCTGGCCCAGGCCAAGAGTTGTGGATGGTGGAGGGCAAGTCTTGGGACCTTACTCCAAATATCCATCAAAGACGTCGAGCTCCGAATCGGCATCATAGAGGCCAGAGCCAGGGTCGGAGAGTACGCCGAGGTCCACCAGCGCCTGGTCCAAGTCCTCGGGCAGGAAGACGAGGCCCACGTTGAGGACGATGTATTCCATGAGGAAGGCGTAGTAGAGGATCAGCACATTGACGAAAAACAGGCCCACGTAGAACATAGAGGGCAGCAGCGGTGGCTGCACGTAGGAGACCAGGGGGCCCAGAGCGTCCAGGTGGGCTGCGACGCGGGCACCGGGCATGCAGGGGCCGGCGGTGGGGGCGTCTGCC